AGCCAGCGATGGAAAGAAGCCAAACAAGGACAAAGGGAACACAAAACCCAGAAAAAAATGAACGCATATTCAGTTTCTTGGCATACCGAATCATTTATTACTTCAAATAAAGGTTGAAAATATTGAGGTTTTTGAGCTGTTTTCAAACTGAATATGACTGAATAGTTCATATTTTAGCTAGGACAGGTAACTTCAATAATACCTGAAAACTCAATTCCATGTGCAATCAGCAGCTGATTAGTTACTTTGGAAAGGCTCCTTAGTTTGTCTTCCTGACTGTATTTATTCAGTTAGCAGTGGTGGAGCATTCGAGTGGAGCTACTGTGACTGGTTTTAATTTATTTATTTTGTTTTTCAATCCAGTGCCTGTTTTATTAAACAGTAGAATCAGGACATATATGTGAACCCAGCTGTCATCCTTAGTAGGCTGACACCTCAGACACACACTCCACGTCTTAATGTTACAGTATTTAGGATGTGCACTCTCAGTGACATCAAAAGGAGGCAAAACCTCATTATGTAGTCCTCATAATAAAGCAACTTGAGGCAATTGTAGTTGTGAAGTGGCATTACATACATATACATACAATACTGTATATCCAGAAAGCCTACATGCAGATGGTTTTGGGTGTCCACGTGACTGTTATGCAAATCATTGAAAACACAGAGGACAACACTGCCACCCTGTGGACATCAAAGACTATTTTATTTACTCAGTGAACGAGCCCATTTATTTTCTTGGGCTGGTTAGACGTGCTTCTAATTAATAGTTAGGTAGAAGCATGTTGGATATTTGCTGAGGTTGTTGCATCTCTTAATCACAAGATGTTTACTCAGAATGCAGCAAAGCTCACACACAACGTCACAGCCATGTGAATACAGTCCAGTGCAGTTGTGAGTAACACATCAGTGTAGATGTCTGTTGAACTAATAAAAATGTGACATGAGATTGTTTTTGGTGTCATTTCTAAAGCTCCCTGTCAGCAGAACTACACAAAAACCAAGAACAAAAATCAATGAACTCAGCTGAGAGGTGGAGCATGTGCAAAAGAAGAAGCTGCTACATTTTGGTGCTGATGGACATTTGTGACATGGCTTTGACCTTACTGGCCTTAATGTTTACGCTCTTAGAGATTCCTTCTTGTCTGCTGCTGTTGTTTCATTAACAATCTCAGATATTTACAACACATATTTGATTTTGCTCTCAGAGTGAACACAAAGCACCAAAGACTCATTCAAGAACAGGAAAGAATGAATGAAAACCTGATTCTGTGTCATGTAGCAGAAACTCAGTGCCTCTAGGGATACAAACATGTTCAAGGCAACCTGCTGAAGAACAAAATAAGCATCAGTATGAGAAAGAAGAGTGATTTAAGTGACTTTGAGTGTGAAACTGCTGATCTACTGAGTTTTTCCACATGACCTCTGTAGGGTTTACAGAGAATGATCTGAGAAGGAGGAAATATCCAGTGAGCAGCAGTTCTCTGGGTGAAAACGGCTTTTTGATGCCAGAGGTCAAAGGAGAGGGCTCGGCTGCATCAAGCTGATAAGAAGGCAACAGTAACTCAGAAATGCCTCTGTACATCCAAGCTATGCAGAAGAGCATCTCTGAACACATTGAACCTTGAAACGGATGGGCTACAGCAGCCAGAGACCATATCTGGTGCCACTCCTTTCAGTTAAGGACAGGAAACCCAGGCTACAGCTCTCAGGGGCTCAGCAGAATATTGCAAAAACATTGCCTGGTCTGAGGAGTCCTGATGTCTGCTGTGACATTTATGGCAGGGCCAGAATTTAGTGTAAACAGCGTGACTCCTTCCTGCTGCTCCTGGTGTAATGATGGACATTTTCTTGACATCATTTGGATCTCTTAGTACCACTGAGCACAGCTTACCTGAGTATCGTTGCTGACTGTGTCCATCCCTTTATGACCACCCACGCAGGCTCTATGTCCGGTGCTGTATGAGCAGTGTTGGGTAAGTTACTTTAAATTAGTAACTTAGTTACATTACTAGTTACTCCTATCAAAAGTAACTCAGTTACTTCAAGTTACTCGTTACTTTCAGAGTAACTAGTTACTAGGGAAAGTAACTTTGGTTTTACTCAGAATTCTCTTGTTAATGTGTTGCTTCCGTAACTGGATACCCAGCAAGATTGCCAGTCTTCTACTTGCCACAAGTGCACTGTGCCACCTACCAATAGAAAGGAAAAAATAATGTGCCCATTTCCACGAGAGAAATCCCACACCTGATTCTATCCTAGCCTGCTTTTTACATCCAACACAAAAACTGCAGTCGTGGTGCTTTCGATTGTACTCAGAACTCGGAAATTCTGCCGAATAGGAAGATGTAGGTAACACCAGACTGCAGATGAGTTGCATACAGGGCTGGACTGGGACAAAAAAATCGTCCCGGGCATTTTGACTAGAGACCAGCCCACCATTATAGGAAAAATCATAAAGCCTTTGAATGAAAATAAACACACAGTGATGTTCACTGTTCTGATGGTATATATGCATCAATCTATCCATTGTTTGTTGCAAGACTTAGATAATTATTTTTTTAAAAGTGAGACATTTTAAATGAGAATAAGAAAGTATTTCTTTGTGCCCCCCTCTCCCTGTTAATGCCCTACCTGCCCCCTGGCAACACTTTGCTAGATCCGCCCCTGCACAGTTACCACCTGTCAGCTACCTAAAAAGGGATCCTGGTGTTATTTGT